GATTTGAAGAATCCAAATACAGATGAGAGCTGCACTGTGCTCCGCCCTGAGGAACCCCTCATGTCCTTTTGTGAATCCTCACAGCAGGTGTTTACCTGTTAGCAAACATCACTTCAGTTCGTAAAACTGTCTGGGCAAGTTCTCTGAGTTATCTTTTACAAGCCTGTTTGTCCGGTTCGATGTGAGACTTGTACGTTTCAAGGTCGAAATAATGCATCCGCTCAGACAAACCATTATATGATATCGCTGTCACATAAAGGAATTTTCAGACTAGCTTGGTGTAGGTAAAAATGCACATTTAGTCATATAAATAAATATTATCTGATTATTTTCAGATTATCAACTGTGTTTTTTAAGCGTTGAGTTTTTAACGTGATAATATGAATTTTATAAAGAGTAGTGTTTTTTTATCCTATAAATTATTCCTCAATGTCTTATGCAATCTTTTATGCTTATTAAGGCTGCATTTGTTTAATTAAAAATACTTTAAAACTTAATCATTGTGAAATATTATTTCAATGTATAATTGTATTATTTCTTTGATTCAAAGATGAATCAATATCATTACACATGTGATAGAGTCATGTGATCCTACAGGAATCATTCAAAATCATTCAGTCATTAATAAACAAAAATATGTAATTAAAAACAATATACACACCAAAAAATAAAATAAAATAAATAAATAAATAAAAAAAAAACAGTTTAGGCCTAACAAATAAGATTTATGCATTTTGATTGCATATACAATTTCCATCAATTTGGATTATTTTAACATAATTAAACTAATAAACTTTGTGATTGATATTTGTTACTGAAACATAAATAAAAACTAATAAGAACAAGATTTATGTAATAACATTAATAAATCCAATGTGCTTTAAATTATTTTTATTAATTTATACCAAACTGGGTTTAATCTATTGTGGAGAATGAGCTGCATATTTTTTTGCCCCTAAATATTAAGTAAACCTCATCTTAATCTCATAGAATTTAACTAATTAGATCTGTCTTTTCTTTACAGCTACATATATTCATTCTATATTCATATTTTTAACTGATTAAATATAATAGTGTTCAGTTGTTAACAGATTTAGATTGATTCTAAGCAGAAAAAAAAATCAATAAAATCAACAAGTTACAAACACTTACTGATAAACTTCAAAAAGCTAAAAGGAAGAGCATTTATGTAAAATTAGATATCTTTTGTTATATTATAAGTAACTTAATTGTCTTTTTTGATCAACTGAATGTTTCCTGAATAAAACATTGACCTATTTTTTTTTTTATCTAACTGACCCCAGCCTTTTAAATAGTATCGTAAGCGATGAAATGTTAAAAATAAAAAAAACACAAGAAGATTACATTTAGTAATTTAGTCTGTTTAGAAATGTCTCTTTGGGCAAATAAGCAGTGGAGGAAAGAGTACTCATACTCAGTTAAAAGTACCATTACCTACCCAAAAATGTGGAACAAGTAGACTAAAAGTATCTGTTGTAAATATTACTTAAAGTTGGAGCAAAAAGTAGTTCTTTTTTAAAGTACTCAAGAGTAGTAAGTAGTGAGTATTACGATGTGAACCGCTCATGCGTTTACATGCAATTTGTGCATGTGTGTGAAAACGCAAAATTCTGTAGTGCATTAGTAATTATTTAATGGCTTTTGGTGATTATGTCCTCATATACAGTAAACATCCATCTTCCCATCAGTGACATGCAGTTTATAAAGTCTCTCGATCATTGCGTGTAAAGATTTTAGAAATATTCTTGCACACTTTTAATGCTTCCATACAGTTTGTTGCATTTGTGAAGCACCAATGTCTTGCGGTTGTTTAGTATGATAAAATTTACTTTCTTTGTTCGATTTAATTGAACAAGAATCATACTGATTAATACATTTTAGCCAATCCCCAGAGACAAGAAAATGTAGTGACTGCAGGTTGAAGGAAAGTAGTGGAGTACAAGTATACAGCACTAAAAATGTACTTGAGGGAAAGTAAAAGTACACATTATTAAAATTACGCTGTAAATTACAATTCCTGATAAAAACTACTTGATTTACAGTCATTTGGGTATTTTGTTACTTTACACCACTGCAAATAAGACATTATAAGCTCTTTTTTATTTTTGATTAAAATCCTATTTTATTACATCTCATAGTATGACAATGATTCTGCCTACCTTCACTGAGTATATTAAACAAAAGATTGTAAAAGACGCAGACGAAATGGCTAAATGACATGCATGTGAATCAATGAGCTTCCCATCCCATTCCCATTGTGCAGGAATTGGAGGGATTCTGCAGGACAGAGGAGGGTGACTGGAGGTTATCAGGACCAACAGAAACGGCCTGTTTTGTCTTTCTAACAAGTCACGGTTCATTGTTGCCATGAATGCTCATTGGCAAAACAAAAAATATATGGCATTGGAGAATACAAGTTTGCATTAAAGTCATATGAGAATATTTCCAATGCAGTGTGAAGTGAAAAGCCTTTGTTTAAAGAGTATATGGGTTGTCTTGGAAAGTGTCTGTACATTCCAGCAATCTTTTCAAGCAATCATAAGGGCTCTATCTGCTGTCTGAAGAACCACGGCTTAGTTTGAGATGCATGTGTGAGGTGAGATATTGCATTTTTGTTGGGCGTGCGCTGAATGCTAAGGGACTGCATGTTTTATCTCTTATAGCTTGCATTGGCCAACTGTATTCATCATATATATTTTCTTACTGTGTAGATTTTTAGGCCAGAGATGGATTAGATATTACTCACAGCCTTACTTCAAGCTGAAATAAAAATGGATTAAGACCACTTGTACACAATATATAGTGATTAGTTGACTTTACTTTAAAAAAAGTTTGTAAACCCTTTCCATTTAAAGTGATAAGTTGACTTTAATGTGATTGGTTGACTTAAGAAAAGAGATTAAACCTAATTAAACCTTTATAAACAGTGTTTACTCAGTTAAAAAGTAAGAAAACATGTTGCTATTAAATTATTAAGTAAATGAATGTGCATAATTATAAAAAGATAGTCAACTTAACAATTCCAAATTAAAATGTCTTTACTCACTTTTTAAAAGGTAGTTAACTAGTCTGTTTTAAGGCAATGTTTTTTCTCCCTTTTTTTAAAAGTAACAGTAATTGCTTTTTACAGTGCAGCGTAAAGCTAATGCGCAAATATTTCCCCATCATGTACACAAACTACAGACAGAAACATGTTTTGCTTTTAGTTAATGCAATTACTTTAAACTTATCTTCACTTTCAACAGCATTCCTTTATCAACTTGTTAATTTGAAGAAAGTGTCATTGTTTTTCAGTAAATAAAAGGCAAAACTCTGTAACTGCCATTGTAAATTCGTTAAACTTTTGTCCATAGGTTATTATTAAAAGAAATAAAACTCTCAATATTGAGTGTTGTCAGGAACAATATTAAACCAAATAAATTGATCAAATAAACCTTAGTTAAAGGGTTAATAATAGATTTTAGTGTTCACAGACATTTTGGTTTAGCCAAATCTGTGTCGCTGTTTAACAGTCCGATTTGTCATTAAGTGAATGGGCTAATGTGATTAATATTTGTTGCATGCCGTATTTCTAGGACCATTTCAACACTCACAGCCTCTCTGTGGAATAGCCTATATATGGGTTAATCTTTACTGACACTATTGTTTTTCCTATCAATACTTCTTCACCCAAAAATGACATGGTGCTGTTTGTTAACAATGGACATATTGACTGACAGATAAATTACACACCCTTATTTTAAAATTATAACATCATTTTACATGATATGTTGTTGTGCCATCCATACAATACATTATTTGTAGGCTAAGTGTATTAACTACTGATATGGTGTGAGAAGTAAGAAGTGAGAACAAAACACCATAACAGCAAGGAACCAATTAGAGATCGCAGAACTAGGAACTGAAAATTATTTTTGCAATCAAACATCCTTTAGTGTTGTATTGGTCATCAAAATACTTACTTTTGCTTATTTTAGATGATGCAAGCACTATCATACAACAGGAAGTTTACAGTTTTCCTCACATTTGAGCTCAGGACTATGTGCTGAGACTAAGGATTAAAGGCAGAAATGTTGTAAATTTAAATTGATTTGTGCACTTACTGATCACAAGGTCTCAGTCTATCATCAGTCACACATGAATTTTATATTTATATTTTTAAATCTCAAACTGTGTGTAGCTGTTGGTCTACATTTTATAAACAAAAATCAAGTATGACATCTTTTAATGTCATGCTCGTAAACAACAACAACAACAACACTACAACAACTTCTTTACTACAACAATAAAAATAAGTCACCGAAATCCTCAACTTGCATGGCATAAGAGTTAGTAGATTAACAGCAAATTGTGGATGTATTTTTTCTTAGAATGTACATTTGTAAGTGAAAGAATGTCCTTTTATTTTCACATTTTATTTTTTTTTCAGTACCCTTTTGACTCTATTAATATATACAGCTCTGTGGGTGGCAGCACATTCCACTATTGCTGAAAATGCTGCTGAAAATATCTGTAAGTATAACTGTTAAAATAATTTTATAAAAATAAAGACTCTTTAAAGATTTCTTTTGTATTAAACAATTATATATTTTCTTCTTTGTCCTGTCTGTTTGAATGGTACATTCCGCGCGAGGACGTTAGCATGTGATTGGCTGTCCGGCAAATGAAGGCGTTACCAAGCTGCAGCTTGAAATGTTCCGCGGGAAAATGATTTCTTTCTGAACAACTTTTCATTTTTGTCCCACCCGATTCAAGTAAACAGAATCGTCATTGGACGAGTCTACAGTGGTGGTGTTGTTTTCTTCGATGTCATTGGACGTCAGATTTGTCTGTCATTCTTTGCACCGCCTACGTTCTCACTGAGAACAATGTTGAAAAAAGAGGAAGCGTTTCTCATTGGAGGAATCAGATGTAACGACGCTGCTCATTGGCTACTTACATTGCCGCTTGCGGACTGCATGTTTTGAACATAAATAAGAGCTACATTCAGCACTTCCTCAGCAGAGTTTGGATAAGGTCAGAGAGAGTGCGATTGAATCGGCAGCTCTCTGACAACAAAGAAGATGGATTTTTAACCCCCTGACTCTTTATTTTTGTTTAGATTTGTGTAATCGGCCGTCGTTATTATGCAGATTCTCCAAGTTGTAGCTAAACTAAACCCTAAAAAGCTTTAGCCCCGATCGGGTCGCTGTGCGATTACTAGCTCGGTTTAACCCCTTGTGTTCTTAATCGCGCCTGGCTGATTATTATTTTAACAACCATCTGACGATCCACGATCTTCTTCAAAAATGGATATTGATATGGTTCCAGGCGACGTTAGCCCTGTTTATGATCCATTCAGCACTGGGCCCGAATCAGCCCTCGGAGCTCCCCGCTTCACTCTGCCGGAGCTCGGTGCTCGGGGCTCCCCCTGCATGAAGAGCCTGGCCTCTCCCGGGCCCATGGCGGTGCTGTCTCCTGTCACCAACCTGGCCCTCAACATGAATAATCTCGCTGTTCTTGGAGGGTGAGTGGAGCTGGGCTGTTTTTTTCAAGATTGGAAAAATAAATAAAACAACTGCATCGCTGCAGAAATACTTCCTGGAACAGTTTGCAGGCTGTTTACATTAATGACGCTAACGTACCTTATCTATTTGTGTAACTTGGTGCTTTAACGTTATATGAGGCGAAAACAAACATGATGCAATTCATTTTCGTTTCGCTAAAAAGTTTGTTTTCTCGTTTTGATGCAGTCAATGTGAAACTCCAAAGCGGAAGAAAAATTTGCCCCTCCTGAAGATTCCTTCCTTCGCCTCTGATGCCTCTTCTGATGCAGGTTAGCTTGGTGTACATGAGTGTATTTTTCTGTGAAACTACATATTGTATGTATATGGCAGGCTGCTTTAAACTCGTATTCCATTATCTGGTATTTATCAATTAGCAAGTAGTCCACCAAAATATCTATATAAATAAAAAAACATAACTTGCATTGCCTGCGAGTATGATGGAATGGCAAAAAAAAAAAATAGTTGATGCTAAACGTTAGGAGGATAAATGTTATGTTAGCGCTCAGCCCTTAAACGCATAGTTTACCCAAACATTAAAATGTACTCCTCATCAAATGGTTCCAATCATTTTGAGTTGCTTTATTTTGTTTAATGCAAAAGAGGTTTTGGCGAAGAGAGAACAAATATTTAATTTTTTAGCTACTGAATAGCATAGTCTAATAATGCATATTTAGACAGTAGTAGCATTCACGGTCATGTAAACAACTTTGCTAAATAACCACTATTAATGTAACCAACTACAGATATGGTATGTTGAAATGGCAGTTTTTGAATCTTAAAGCAATTCTTATATTTGAAATGTGTAAAACTTAAGTCATTACATATTGCATTCATGCACTAGTAAGTTAAACTATGCTAGTTACCACAGTGTACTTAGTTTTTTCTTTTCATGTTAAAAACGATTGTTTAGAGACTACACCATTGTTGTATTTATTCCTATTCACACAGGCCATTATTAAAAGATGTCACTACATAAAGCAATGCTACTCTCGTATGCTTCTGTTGTCCTACCCTGTTGTTTTGTTTGTCAAGTATGGTTGCGTTCCTGTAAGCTGAACATGTAACATTTTCCACAGTGTCACAGTTAAAAGCATCATTTTAGATGGAAAGTGGTATTGTACAAGTGCCACTTAATACATCAAAAAGCCAAAACGGGCAACCTAAAGCAGACTAGTTGGCTGCAGTTGCATGCAAATACAAGTGCTGCTAGTGAAACTGTATGAGTTTGTTAAAAGGAATGTTAAAGCGGTTTGCCATGCTGTGTAGGTGTATGACAGCTCATCCTCCTTGGAATGCCAGTTATAATTTTATACAGTGAAATTCTGCTGTATTTAGAGCTTGTGCTGGTTTACTCATGCGTCTACCTCTATGTTTATCCACAGGTCTTGGACTAGAGTGTCCCAGTCCTTTAGATTCTCTGGATGCTGAGCAGAAGTGAGTATGACTTTTCTGCCTCATTTCTGACATGTGACGTAAAGCTTGGTTTGAGGATTATATGTCTAATCTAGTCCCTGCCGTTAGGTGACCTATAGACGTGTTTAGCGTGTCTGTTTTTACAGATTAACCGAACATATGCTAGCATAAATCACAGATCACTAGATATCTTAACCATATCCTGTTATTACAGGGATTATTAAAGCGCAATTTAAACTTGTGATCATTTAGTCAGCCATATGTTGTTCCGACTGAAGTAGTTTAAATGTTTTGAGCCCCAAAAATATTTTGATTTGTTTAATCTCTGGTATGTAACCGTATTAACAGTCCAGCATGCCTTAAAGGGATAGTTCATTCAGAACTTAAAAGCATCTTATTTACTCACATTACATTTATTCCAAGCCTGTTTCCAAACATTTTTTTTTAAGCTCCGATATGCTTCATGCACACAATATTTGCTAAACTCATCCCAGCTCTCCAATAATCAACACTTAGTGGGATGGTTCTCCTTTCCAAGCTATTTGGTGTCAGTGGGAATCCATTTATCTAAAGCCAGACCTACAGCTGTTTGGGTTCCTCTCGTGTTTGTGTCTGTCTTTCTGTGTGTGTGTGTGTTGCGCATTGCTAAAGGGGGGCTGGGTGACTAGTGGCACGCTTTTCATGCCCTGTGAGCGCAAACGTCCGAATAGATCTGTAGTACTTGTGTGTGAGGTAGTCAGGGTTACTCGGGGACCAACCCCCCGAACATAATTCCCTACTTTTCCTATGCTATTAAAGAGACACGCTCCTTACCTCCTCCCCCTCCTAACCACCATAGCTGTTCCCCACGTCAAACAAAAGAGGCTTGAGAGGGGGTTTGCGTTGTGTGGGCATATGGTAAATTAGAAAATGCCCCCCTTTTTCCTTCCCCGGGGCTGTTTTACATACAGGTGGGCATTGCGGTGTATTTGTTAAATGAAGAGTGGCCTGGACTGAAAGATAAATGAGCTGGATTGTCGTCTGGACTTGTGTTTAGTTGACGTAGGAGGGGACTTTGAATACACTGGGAACTGTTGAATAGTTTTTCTTTATCTACACAGGTTTGAGAAGGCCATGCAGGACGCCACACGAGCCGTTAATGAGTAAGTGCTGATGTCTTACAATGCTGAAAATGAACTTGTCCATCACTGAAAGATTTCTTTGTGTTGACTTGCGTTTAATCCAAATATGCTTTGTGTTTGTACAGAAAAATGCCCATCCGCAGGATACACTCTTTGCCAGTAAGTGTTGAATTTTAGTTTGTTTCATTTGCTTACTATACCTGTTTGATTGAAATTAATAATGAAATCTATTAAAAATAAGCAAAATTTTAAAATTTAAAATGGAAGAAAATTGATGGCAATATTTTTAGAGCCATTACTACAGTCTGTAGTGACACATGATCTTTACTTCACAAATCATTCTACACTGCTGATTTGCTGTAGTATTGTAAATGTTTATACTACTTAATGTATTTGTTGAGGACTTCGAGGACAACACATACAGTAAATACATCACTAAACTTAATTAAACGTATATGTAGACATCACCTATAAGCAATAAAATTGCTGGTTAACTATGTCTGTATAATAACTTGCATTTGATTGTAATGCGATAAAGTGCACCTTTTGTGAAGCTGCTTTAAAAACCATTATTGTAAAGCACAATGCAAATAAACTTAAATTGAATTTGTGGAAACCTGTTTCTACTTTAGTCTTTGCAAGATTTCAAACATCATGATGATGATTTTTATTATTATTTTTTTTTTTGACGCATCCAGGCTTTTTTGAAAGTAGTTATAGAAAAAGTACTGCATTGAGCCCAGACTTTTCAGAATGACTTTTCTCACCTCAAATTTTTGGTGTTTATTTTTAAAGCTGTTTGTAATGCTTATTTTGTAGCTCCAATTTTTGGGTCACAGTCCAAATCTGAGGAGTAAAGAATTGGATCCCTCCCGTTATGGAGTGTGGACTCATTCACATGACAGTGCCAATAAAGAAAACATGGCTGAGGTGAGGTTGTCATCGTGTGTGTTTGTGTGTGTGTGTGTGTGTGTGTGTGTGTGTGTGTGGCTATTAATAGAACTGTGTGGAGGGGAATGATCCATAGCATGGCCAAAAATTTTAATGTTAATATTATTTATTTTATTATTATTTATAATAATAGTAATAAAGCGGTTATTAATAGAACTGTGTTGGGGGGGGGATGATCCATAGCATGAACAAAATTAAACGGATAATATTATTTTTATTTATTATTATTATTATTATTATTATTTGGTAGAAATCTTATCTTACAAGGCACTGTGTACATTTAATCAACATTCCTCAACAATTCAAATGTACTCAAATTAGCCCATATACATACACATTCTCAACCAGGTGGTGGATTCAAATTCCATGGATTCAATGCTTTAAATACAAGTTTGACCTTTTATTTAGTTACCGTTTTCTGTAGATGTAAATTGAATAGTCAGCCTGAAGAGGAGGAGCTAAAGCATGCATGTCATGTTTCCTTTCTAAAAAATAAAAACAGTATTCTCAATTTAAATAAACCAATACCTAATAATAATTCCACAGAAAGTGGAAATAATGTGTTGAAGTGTTCTTAATACTACGGTGGCCGGGAAGTGCAAAACAATATTACAAAGTATGAAACGCTTTTACAAAGCTCGAGACAAATTTACATTTTGGAAAACATTTTTACCTATCATCAGACACAATTACATAGGAAAAACAAATTTACCAAAGGCGAAACAAATTTACATTTTAGAAAACAAATTAACTAGACGCAAAACACTTTTACAAATCCCGAAACAAATTTACAATTACAGATTGCTTACGGAAAGGGAATGTACCACACACCGGAAGTGACACGGGGGAAAGTGGTTGTTATTGGTGAGCACAGTAAATTTGTGCTGTAGAGTACATGGAGTAAACAGAGTTTATGATGACCGAACATGGACCGCGGTCGAGGGTTGTTTTGCCCGTTTTGTGGCAAACACATTAGCAGCTTAATGCAGTTTTGCTTTACGTGTGGTCTGTGTTTGGAGTTTATAAAGGATTTTATGCAGACGGAAACAGCAGACATACTGCATCAATTTTTTCAATATTTTAACGAGGGCCAATTGTACTCTGTAATCGTGGACATTATGTTAAGTCTATGCGGTGTAAACATCTGCTTGAGGACTCTTAACAGTAAACTGAATGTAGCCGGTGTTACGGTTTAACTGGTGTCCGTGTTAACTGAGGCCCTTTTTAGATGTAAACTAACGTTTTGCAGCATGGCAGATTCGTCACTTCTTCACAGCAACAAAACATGCCCATACCGAATAAAGATTTTTATTTCTTGGTGTCAGTGTACACATTATTGATTTTATTATCTGTGTAGCAAAAAAGTATAAACCAAAATTAATTTAAAGAAATAATTTTAATTGACATGTCATCAACGGGATTCGAACCAAAGTCAAAAAGTTCTGCACAAGTATCTACCGACCTATCTAACTGAGCTACCCGGGTCTACAGGTTGGTGTCGGTTTTGATATCTTTATCAGTCAACATGTGTCATGCTTTGATTGTTTCTATGTACTTGCGTTTACATGTTTCTATATACTCTCATGCTAATATTTTCTCAGAATAGCTCTAATATGTTTTAATCGCAGTTGGTCAAACCATGATTTTTATAGTTTGTAGACTCGTGGAAACCTGTGTCTACAAAGTCACACACGAGATGATATTTTCCGGTATGTGTGGTACACCGCACCGGGAGTGACCCCGAATGTGTGGTACATTCCACGTCGTTTCCGGTGTGTGGTACATTCCCTTTCCGTAATGAATCTGTGATTGTACATTTGTTTCGGGATTTGTAAAAATGTTTTGCATCTTGTTGTTTTTTTTCTAAAATGTAAATTTGTTTCGTCCTTGGTAAAATTGTTTTTCCTATTTAATTATGTCTGATCATAGGTAAAAATGTTTTTCAAAATGTAAATTTGTCTCGAGCTTTGTAAAAGTGTTTCAAGTGTTGTAATGTTGTTTTGCACTTCCTGGCCACCGTACAATACACTTAATGAATGTTACCCTATAGCAGAAGCAAATATCTTTTTTTTAAAAGTATATTTGCATTACTAATTTTACAAATAGCTATCAGCTTCTGATAATTACCATGATGGGTGTTTGACTCCAATCTGCTGTTTTACAGGAGAACTTTGAGTTCAAAAAGCCCTCCATGCCTGCACTGCGCTGTCGCACTCGCTCCACCGGAGGCTCCAAGGATGCTTTTGCCTGCCGACCGAACTCTGCTCCTGCTTTAATGGTAAAACATTAATTCCTGGAAAAAAAAAACACAAGTTAAATTTTTTTTAACAGTTGCTAAAATAACAGCATGGTTTCCTGCTTTTCCCCCAGCTCTCCCCACCACCCACCAATCAGCCAGACTCTCCAAATGAAATCAGTCCCTTCATTCTGCGCCGTCCGTCGCTCTCCTGCCTTCAAGATGATGATGACGATGATGGCTTTCTGGAGGGGCTTGATGATGTGGAGGTGACTTTTCCATTAGCCTGTGCTTGTTGTGTTGTCAAAAGTATTGATATTTTGATTAAACGCTGATTCTGAAATAATTTGAAAAGTGAAATCGTATCTACAGCTTTTTAAAACTCACTGTAAGAGAAACATAAGCACCCACAGTTCCCCACTTTTCCCACACATTTGCATTTCAGGATGCTTAACATTATTTTGGTATCACAGCCCAAAAGAGGTTTTAGTGGCTCATTCCACAGTTAATGCTTCAAAGACCATGCGCATTTCTGGTTTTATTAGTTTAAACATTAAGCACAAATGCAGTACAGAAATCTGTTTTGGTTTGTTTGTGCATCTCTCTGAGTGCACATATGCCAAGTTGTCCCCATGATCTTGGACTTCAATGTGTATTAATTTGCCAGCTAATGCCAAAATTGCTCCTAAAAGGCAGTCTAAAGCAAACTAGTGAGAGAAATTTCTCAAAGTAATAGCCTTCATTAACATAAATCAATAACAGAAAAGACGATCACAATTAAACCTGCCTGAAGAATAGCGTTTAGTTTATTTATTGGTTGTAGTCAATGTTTTCAGTAATTTGACTTCATAAGGCTAGTTAGTTTGCCTAGTAGTTTTTTAAAGAAATATTAATTTTACGTTGTGGTGGTGTTTTTAGCATAGCCTGTGAGAAATGAAGGAACAACGAAAGTTGAAAGAATTGACCACCATGGACCAGTATTAACAATTCTTAACACTGAGCTTGAAGTTTAAAAAAAAATAAAAAATAGTTAAATGACAATTTTATTGAAAGCATTTTTTTGTCATCAAGTATTTAACTTTTTTAGAGATGCTGTATTTAAGGTAGAAATTTTTAGTATCTTCACAGTACTATGGTCTTTTTTTTTTTTTTTTCTCAGAATGACTCTGAGGTTCCTCTGGGAATGGACAGTCTTCTAACTGCTCCTCTGGTGGCCAAGCAAATTCCTGAAACTGATTCGGTATGTTGTTAAATTGATTTATTTCTAATTTTTTTTTTCAACCCTATTTTTTTTAAACAAACATTATATTTTTTTATGGTTATGACATGATTGTAATGACCAAATCCATTTTGATTACCTGTAGCCTGTCATTCGCTGTCGTCCACGTGGGTTGTTCAGATCTCCATCTATGCCCTGTGCAGTCGGGCGCATCCCGCTCAAAAGACCTGAAAGACCACAAGATGAGAACACGCCTGTCCGAGTGAAGAGGAGACGGAGTCTGGCAGGGACACAAGTGTCAACCACAGAGCAGGAGGATGTTGTACATCAGGTCAGAAAAAGAGAAAATAAATGAATGTCTTTATTATGGTGCTGATGAGTGTGTTTGGTTTGAGTCCTGATTTTGTTTTTTTTATCTCCTTGTAGGTTCAGAGGTCCAAGTCCTTTAATCACTCACAGATTGAAAGAATGTTGGACACCGATCCTAGTAATGTGATTGGAGATTTTACCAAGGTGAGTGTAAGCCTGGTTTTTGAACAGCTAATGTGTATCATTCTTAAGTGTGTTATTCTTTGTATATTTTATTAAATTATATGGTAAAATAAAATAGTTGCAACTTTTTAAAATAATATTTATACATTTAATAAATCACTAATGTAGTTAAATTTGCATGTCTATTTTAATTTCCCTCTTGTTGTCAGGTATTTTAAAGCGAGTTAAAAATATTTAAAATATTAATTTCTTAATACACTTTGAAAGTGAAATTATATCTTAATTTCCTTCAAATTAAAATGTGCTATTTCATTGTTATTTTATTTAAACAAAATGAAATGCGTAGTTTGATGGTTTAAATTTAGATGGTTTCTTTTAATAATAATAATAATAATAACCTATTTTAAATATGAAGCTGTCATTTTAATATAGCCATTTACATAATATTTATTATTAATAATAATAATAACAACCTATTTTAAATCAATTAGTTAAAATATCCATTTGGATGATGATGATGATAGTAAAACTAATGTAAAATGCGTATTAAAATGTAGCCATTTAGATGTTAACCAATTTTAAATATAAAATGGTTATTAAAATGTAGCCATTTAGATGATGGTGGTGGTGGTGGTGGTGATGATGATGGTTGTTGTTGTTGTTGTTGTTGTTGTTGTTGTTGTTGTTATTATTATTATTAACCCATTTTAAATGTAAAATGGGTATTAAAAAATTGCAATTTAGATAAATTGAATTGTGAAATAATAATATTAAAATATAACCATTTAGATGATGATAATAATAATAATAATAATAATAATAATAAAATAATAATAATAATGATTATTTTTTTTTTTATTATTATTGTTATTATTGATACCCATTTTACATTTAAATTGGGTTAAAATATAGCCATTTAGATAATGATATAAATTATATAATAATAATAATAATGATAACAACCCATTTTAAATAAATGTGTCATTAAAATATAGCCATTTGGATTTTGATGATGATAATAATAATGAACCCATTTTTAAATGTAAAAAGGTTATTAAAAAAATGGCCATTTAGATAAATTGATTAATTGTATAAATTGATTTATTAAATGTATTAATAGTAACTCATTTTCAATCTAAAATGGTTATTAAAATATAGCCATTTAGATAATAATAATTATAATAATAGTGATAATAATAATTAACATTATTTTATTTATTTATTATTATTATTATTATTATTATTGATACCTATTTTACATTTAAAATGGGTTAAAATATAGCCATTTAGATAAGGATAGTAATTTTATAATAATATTATTAGTAATAATAACCTATTTTAAATATAAAGTAAAAATATTGCCACTTTAGAAAATACTTAATAATAATAATAATAATAATGATAATAGTAATAGCAATCAATTTAAAATGGGTGTTACAGTATAGCCGTTTAAATTATTATTATTATTATTATTATTATTATTATTTTATGCACAGGTGACATTGTTTAATAAAATGTGTATAATATACATGCATTTTGTCTTTTTAAAGGCTCCTGCACTGCCCACAGTACAAGGAAAACACCAAGAGTTGAAGTACATCACTCCAGAGATTGTAAGTTGCTACGCAAAGATACACGGCATGTGTATTTCACGTTCAAGTGCGTGCAAAGCAACCAGTTGCATGATTAAGAGTGGAGCAGCAGGCCTTGTCATCTATATAAAGTATAATGCACTGGCATCTTTCCCATAATCCAATTTTCCACTGACATCTGTTTCTGCTTTTTACAGATGGTTAAAGCAATGAGTGGACAGTTTCAAGATCTAGTGGAGAGGCTGTTTGTTATCGACTGCCGTTATCCGTATGAGTATGAAGGCGGCCATATTAAAGTAAGAGTCACTTGCAGCTTTATTAAATTGGCTACAGTGGTTTGTAGTATTGAGCAAATTTTTAACTCCTCTTTGTCGTCTTTCAGGGTGCTCTTAATCTCCACCAAGAGGATCAAATCGAAGACTACTTTTTACGCAGTCCTATTCTCCCTGACTGCCCCAAGAAGCGCGTCCTGCTGATTTTTCACTGTGAATTTTCTTCAGAGCGTGGTCCACGGATGTGTCGCTACGTTAGAGAAAGAGATCGATTTGTGAATGAATACCCCAACCTCCATTACCCCGAACTCTATATCCTGAAAGGAGGCTACAAAGAATTTTTCCAGATTCACAAAGTATGTGCAATTCCTCAGTTGCTTTCTAATATTATAGGTGTAACTACAGTGCTCAGCATAAATGAGTACAGCCTTTTCAAAATTAATTTTAAACAAAAACATATTTTATATTATAAACAAAACAGATTTATTAAAACACATACATCTATTAAAATTATATTTTAGTCACAAGACATCACAAAACATTAGAAATGGAAAGGTAATACAATTCAATTTACGCAAATTATTGCAAAGCAAAAACTACAAACTACAATTTAAAAAAAATTGTAAATTGTTTTTATTCATTTTTTGTTTGTCTTGACTTTTGCTAGTTTTGAAAATGCCATTTAATATTTTTCTCTGACATATAAATTTGGAATACTAATTTTAACAATTATTGCAAGTTTTTTTTTTTTTATTTAGATAAGCTTTAGTTTAGTCAGTACTAAAGCCAAATCTGTTGTATATGCACAATTTGGGGGGCTTTGCGTGCGTGTGCGTGTGCTCTGAACACTGGATAGGGTTCTGGATAAGGCGTCTACATGGTAACTAATTCACATTCTATTGTAAGTAGTTAGTGTAAGTTGACATGTATTTGCTAAGTTTATGCTGTTCACACCAGACGCGGAACGCAGGGATAAATTGCGATATTCGTGCGCAAATAGCTGCGTGAACATTTGAGTTAACTCGCTTCATTCGTGCGTTAAACACTACTTCATCCACGCGTCAGATCCGTTTCATTCGTGTGTCAAATTCAGTGTTACTCATTTTGGTACATATTATGAATTAGATAAGAGCTATTAATCCTTCATAATGTGCTGATCTCCATTTTGAAACCCACACAATTTTAATTGAACATCGCTCTGATTTGCAGTTTTTATTTTTTGTTTTTTATGCTTCACTTTGATTCATACATTTCATAGTACAATCAAATCCTGCATTGACCCACAGGAAATAGTTGTCGCATGTGATTTTTTTTATTTATTTATTTTTTTTATAAAATGGCTTTAGTTTTTCAACATGTATTTTTTAAAGTTGTTGTTTGTTTTTTTTTTATAAATCTAGTTTATTGTTAAGTTACAAAGACGGTTGTCTATAGAATTAAACAAAATGCTTGTTTTGAAAGTAACTTGATGCTTAAAGAATGTATTTGCACTAATAATGTTGATAATTGCAGCTAAAATTTGTCATATTAATGTTCAGAAGATTGTTTTTAATACTAATTCGTCTAGTAATGAAAATTATACAAATTTTTTGAAGTGAATTAGTGAATCTTTATTTTAAACTGATTTAAAAAAAAAAATTATTTACCTATTGATATTTACCTTGATAAAAGATAACTTTAGTTTTATATTTTCAAAATTTTCAAAAAAGCAGAATTATCTCTTAAATAATAATAAAAAGATTTCTCAGTTAAACTACAACCGAAACGAACTCAAACTACAACCTAAAATCTAAATCGTACACACATACTGCTGTTGATGTTGAAAATTACATATTGGTTATACGTCCAAGCAAACATGACACAATCTGCCTGCCAACAATTAGAAATATAAACAGCATTTATAACAAACAATAACAAATAGGGCTGTATGATATTGATTGGAAGTAAAATTTCACCGAAATACTTTTATTTCTGTTTGGAAAGAATTTATCATGTTAAATTGATTTGGATGATCGTGTATGTGCACCAATCCTGCATAAAATGTAATAAATCTAATCTATAAACGGTTGAATACAATAACGATAAAAGATACTATAGAAATAAAGTGTTTAATTATTTTCAGAATCAAATGGTATTCAGGTACATTAAGACTAAAAATAAACATTAACTTTTAAGTTTTAAATGTTAAACGCTTTGAAAAAAATATATAAAAATAAAAAATCACTAAATAAAAAAATAAATCACAGATGCATGCATATTGTAAATTATAATACAAATGACATATTCTATGATGTGAATATTGCGAGTTAACATATTGTGATATCGATGCTGTAAGGATATATTGTGCAGCCCTTGTTGCAAACTTAAATCTAAGGAATCAATACGGGTTTTGGATTTGTTCACTAAAGTCTGAGCTGCTCCAACTGAAAGAAACTTTTACTAAGTATTTTGAATGCTAGTGCATTTGTAGTAGTGATGGTGGTGGTAGTAATAAATGCTGGCATGTGTATAAAAATGATTCATGTCCTTATTGAACATAATCTTATAGCAAGTCCTCTCTGTTAAACCAGTCCTAAAGATTCTCCTCATGCATCTGACAAAAAAAATACATAGGTTGCATAGTGTAATAAAGTAAAGCAATATAGACCCTTACTGATGATTTTTTATTTTTTTTTTTGTACTAATATGTGCAGTTACACCTCACCGTCCTATTTCCAAAGTTGTATTTTTATTGAATTTTCTCATTAAAGCTTATGATCTATGCATGTTTTCTTTCACCTCTGTAGGCAATATGTGAGCCCCAGATGTATAGACCGATGCTTCATGAAGAGTTTAAAGAAGACCTGAGAAAGTTTCGTCTGAAGAGCCGCACCTGGGCCGGAGAACGCAGCAAGAGAGACATGTACAGCCGTCTCAAAAAACTCTGAGGCTCGCCAAAGTGCTCATGATTTTACGGTCTTTTTGCTCATGCTGCCTTCATAACATGAGCCATGGCAGAGACCTGAAGACATACATGTGTGTGTTCAGTGCGGGAACCTTTCTGCGTTTCAGGGTTTGACATTAAAAGAGGACGAGAGGTTATTTTGAGTCTCTGGCTGTTTGTTTTGATGTCATCACTTTTAAACTGCCACTTTCTTTTATATATATTTTTTTTAAATAATAATAACTATTGATCTCCCTTTACAAGTACACTGCGGCAAAGACACTGTCATGAACTGTTTTAAACGAACTAGAATTTGTATTCTCAGGTTTTTTTATTTTTTTATTTTTTTTTATTTTTTATTATTATTATTTTTTTATCCACTTGCCTGTGTTAACTTGTCAGAATATTCACTATTTCCCCCCCTTCTCACCTTGAGCACTTTTTTAAATAAATGGATGTGGTGAATAAGTGCTATATAAATGTTAAATCTAGTTTTTTTTTTTTTTTTTTTTTTATATAAATAGCTCCTTTTCCCCACATCCGATCGGTTGCTGAATGTAACTAATCTGAGAAGGATAATACTATAATACAATTATTTAAATTGATTTTCATATTCTAAAACCACATTATGTACCTGCTATTATTGCAATAATGATTAAATTTTTTTTCTTTACCTCTATAATATGTAAACTCTGCCCATATTGTTCAATGTTGTTTTGAGGGAGCCAGCAATATATTTTTTATTTTATATATATATTTTTTTTTCCCCCCCTCACTTGACTGACAGCTTTAACTCAGGGACTGGATCCTGACTTTTGCTGCAGGTTGGCAAGTGTTGACCACATCATAGTTCACCAAACCAGATCCAGTTCTGCTTGTTCTATAAACCAGTGACTGTTGAGCGTTACAAAATTCTCATTTGCCTTGCAAGGGTGTATGTGTTTTGTAAATTCTACCTTTCTGAGTGTGTTTTATTGGTCTTATGAGACTGGTTTATGTATTCATGAATAAACGTGGAGTTTGGGGTAATAACTCTCTGCTGAATCATCTCTTTATTTGTGTTTTTTTTCCACTGGTGTTATGGTGAGGCTAAGTCTCTTGTTTTTCAAATTTGCCGCTCTAACAGGGACTTTGACTGGGGTTAGCAGAGTGCCAGCACGTGTCACTACACACGTGCACATTCCAGAGCTGTTCCAAGGAGGAGGAGCCTGCAGTTTCCCAGCTCTTCCCTAACGTCCCAGAGCTGTGTTTATGTTTGGTTAATGTGTAAGAGTGTGTCTTAGAGTCTGTCAGTATGGGCAAAGAATAACTGAAAGTCCAAAGCAGAGCAAATGTGTTTCCCACAGCATTGTCATGTGGTTACAGGAGACTAAGACAAGGTTTAAAACGGTTTCTTCTCTGCCAGCAGTATTGTGTGTCTGGTTTGTATTCTTCAAGACTGAACCAAATGTGGAGCTTGATGAAAAAGAACAGCGTACCGAAGAAATATATAAATGAATTATTGAAAAAAAACAAAAAAAAAACATCATAAATAAAAGACTAGACAAAAGCTCTTGTTGCTTATCCAAGTTTTAAGAACAACAAATAATATCTTGACTTCTAGTTGATCTTTAGTATCACAAGTGGCTTACATGAAAGGCTCTAGTTTATTCTTATTTTACCAAAATTAAATATGATCATGTCGTAATGTATGTTTTTTTTTTTTTGGTTCACTTATTTAATCAGAACCGTACGATCTGACTTTGCTTTGACAGATGTTGTCACTTAACAGAAGTAATGTACAGTATTGAATATAGATTCATTGTGCAGTGGTAAATTAATTAATATTGTGCATGACTTCCATGAGCTCGGACATCTGCATTCATACATCCCGGCAATAAATAACTTATTTATTATGTCATCTAGAGTAGCAAAGAAAGAGTTCTTCCCAGAATTTATCAAGATTATTTGCTTTCATCGACATGCTATATAATGTTCATATCTGGTGACTGGGCTGGCCAATCCTGGGGCACCTTGACCTTTTTTGTCAAGACATTTTTAGGTAGTGTATATATATTTAGGCCAAACAAATATAGATATATAAATTATATATATATATTCTATAAGTTAATTTGGATTGCATACTTTTAAAGTAATTGAACTTATAAACTTTATGTCATTGATATTTGTTAGGTAAACATAAATGAAACAAATAAGAACAAGATTTATGCAATCATTTCAAATCCAATTGTATTTTAACACATTGGATTTAGTATAATGGGCTTATGGAGCTGCATCTGTTTTGCCCCTGAATATTAAATCTTACAGAGTTTAGCTAATTGAATTCGGCTTTTTTGCAGCTAGATATATTTATACAATATTTATATATATATAAAAATTTAATAGTTTTCGATTGTAACATATTTAGATTGATTCTAAGGAACTATATACATTTAAGATAAAAATTACAAATTAAATAATATCAAAATATCACAGACAGTTTACAACAGGTTTCGTGATTCCTTTTTTGTTATTGTTGAGTGCTGTTGTGTATGTTAGCAAAGCAGTAATTTGAAACGCAGGCCATGCTCTATCTTTATAACAGATGTGACTTTTTACACTTTGAAATGTTTTTACAACTTGGTCACCGTTCAACTGTCACTACATCTCCAAAAGACAACACTGTTCTCTTTAATTTATATCATACAAGTAGATGTTTTTTGTGCGATTGTACAAGACTTCTGATACATTATCCTCTACATGAAAATAATAATTCCTTACATGTTGCTTTTCTAGACACTCAAAGCGCTATACACATAGGGGGAATCTCCTCATCCACCACCAGTGTGCAGCATCCACCTGGATGACGCGACACCATTTTGCGCCAGACCGCACACCACACACCAGCTGATTGGTGAAGAGGAGACAGAGTGATGAAGCCAAATATGATATGGGGAGGGTTAGGTGGCCATGGTGGACCGAGGCCAGTGGGCAGATTTGGCCAGGATGCCGGGGTGAAACGCCTACTCTTTTTCGAAGGACATCCATGGGAATCAAAATCAAATTTTTACAAACAAACATGCTTAATGTAATAAAATAATGTTATGATAAATATAAATTAGCTTTAAGACACACAATAAACTAAATGAGGGTCACCACCCACCAAGTAATTTCATTTTAAAGATGTACGTCTTTGCCATTAGGCAACATTTTACCTGTCAGTGGAAATGTTGTAGACATCTAACAATAGTCCAAAATTACACTAGTCTCCAAAAAGATTATACAAACTCTACTCTCTCTTGTCTTTTTTTTTGGGCTATTGTTGGATGCCTGTTATACTTCTTTAAAACAAACAGGAAAATGCATGCATTGGCAGAAGCCTTGAAGTTACAAATGGCCTTGCTTGCTCTCTCTTTTTTTTTTTTTTTTTTTGTAACTACCATTAATACTTCCAGCAAAGGCAGTGACTTAATGCATTTTAAATTTCCTCAGAGTAATCCATTCAATGTTTTTGTATGCAGGAGTCACTGTATTATAGTTTGCTCTTATGTTTAAATTCTGAAATATGCAATAAATGTGGTTTGAGTTTCACAGCAGAGCCAACCAGTACAGTCTAAAATGAGTAAGTCACATACTCATTTTCCATCGTCATCAAGTTTCTGTTTTGCTAGCTAAAAGTTACCAGAATGGACTGTTGAAATGCCACCACTGAAACCACATCCTATTGTTCTTTTTTTCTTTTTTCTTTTTTTTTTTTTTTTTTTTGCAAGAGCAAGATCCTCTGAATGTGGCCTTGGCTTTAGTTTCTGGCTTCCTGCAACTGCAGACAACCTTATGATTTGTTTATTGTCACCCATAAGAAGTATATTTCGAATTAACTTGAGGATGAAGCATATATTTAAGTATACTAACATATTTGTACTAGTAGTATATGTGTAGTTCTAGGCTAATGTCACACAGGACTAATTGACCCATATTTTAAGCATAACATTCCACTTTTACTTGAACTGTAAGTGTAACATTTGTACTCAAGTAGTTCACAATTATGTTTAGCATTTGTACTGCAAGTGAAAATATGAGCATATTTACATTTGTCAGACTTGTAGTAAAGAATTTGTTTGATGTATACTTTCCATAAAGTATTAGTTCTCTTTAAAAAAAAATAACTGCAGTAAAACTGCAGTATAACTGCAGTACAACAACAGTATATAGAAGAGTAACTGTAATAAAATTAAGTACAATTGGAAAAATTACAATGAGAAGAAGTATAAACAGTTCAAATACAGTACGATAAAGTTCAACAGTGGTTTAAGTTAGAGTAAACTGGGGTACTTGCTGCTGTAGTCTAATATGCCAATGGTGTGGTAAGAACTGTACTGCACTTGTATTTCAAGGGTAATTTTATAATTGGAATTTCTAAGAGTTTATTTGCAAAAACGAATAATAAAAAATAATTGCAGTGAACTTAACAGTACAGCAGCAGTAGCCTATATACAAAGATAACTGTTAAAATTGTATGCAGTGAGGTACAAATACGTTTCAACTACAATGCAATGAAGTTCAACAGCAGTCAAATCTACAGTACAGCTGAAGTAACATTAAATAAACTGAGAGGGGCAATATAGTGATATGTTAAATAATTTTTTTTATTGCACTTAGGTACATAAGTATTTAAAGTGCACTTTAGGTTTATTATGTATTGCAGATGTAAATGACTGCTGATATATTTCTGTAGTTAAACTTCTGAAAAAGTGCAATAAAATAGATTGTGGCAGTGCAGAACTTCAGCAATACCACTGACATACTGAAACCATATTTGGAAACCACTGCCCACCGAGCAGAAAAAGTAATAGCTGCACAGCAGTTGTATTGTAGAAGTACTTTAGTTGTATTGCAATAGCAGAATGGCAGTTGTACTATTGTAGTGCTTTAGTTGTATTGCAGTAACAGTACTGCATTATAGTAGTTGTACTTCAGTACTTTAGTAGTTGTACTGCATTATAGTAGTAGTATCACTTCAGTACTATTGCAGTAGTTGTACTGCATTTGTACTGTAGTAGAACTTCAGTTGTATTGCAGTAGATGCACTGCAGTTGGTTGTATTGCAGTACTTCAGTTTTATTGCAGTAATACTGCAATATAATTAAATTGTAAAGAAACTGGTTGACTATTAGATTTCTAGTATTAAGCTATTTTTTTTCAACTGTAGGGCATCCTGGCCAATTTAGGTTATTTCAGAAGTTAACTAAATCTGCATGACTCCTTAAAAAAAAAAAAAAAAAAAAACTTGTAATTTTTTGTTAGGATTACGGGAATCTGGATTCTTAGTCTTGGTTGACTATTAGATTTCTAGTGTTTATACTGCATTTTTTGGAGAATTTAGCAAATTTTCTCCACTACAGGGCACCTTGTCTAAATTAGAGTATATTGAAGCTTTTATTGTGTGCATATAGAGATAAAACAAAGGTCATCAACATATTTTAAAATACATTTTAATTTTTTTTTCAGTTAAGACAGCTCAAACAAACGATATTGAAGACCGTCTCTGAAACACTGAGTATGCTTAGTGTATATACTCAGTATAATTACACTGTAAAAATTCTTGCTGCCTTACATTTTTTAGTTGAATCAAATCAACTTTTTTAGTCATCTCAACTTACAGTATACAATCAAACTGACTAAAATATTAAGTTAAATTTGCATTACTTAAATAACTTTATCTGAAACCACAATAACTTGTTAAAACAAGTTAAACACATAACATAAAATAATAGTTGTGTTAATTTTTTGTCATAATGTTTTTACAGTGTGTGTGAAAAAAAGTATTTTGTTTTATTTTAGGCCACAAATCAAAAGAGTTAAAAACAACAAAAAGTGTACTTAATATATGTAATAATACTTTTAATTATATGCCAATGAACAAGTGAAAGTTACACACAGTGGCTCAGGTTAGCACTTTCATCTCACAGAAAGAAGGTCGCTAGTTCAAGTCCCAGCTGGTCAGTTGGCATTTTGGTGTGGTTGCAGGTTCTCCAGGTTCTGGGTGTGGGTTTCCTCCGGGTGCTCCGGTTTCCCCCAGAGTGCTATAGATGAATTGAATGAACTAAATTGGCTGTAGTGTATGTGTATGAATGAGAGTGTATGGGTGTTTCCCAGTGTTGGGCTGCAGCTAGAAATACATCCACTGCGTAAAACATATGCTGGGTAAGTTGGCGGTTCATTCTATTGTGGCGCTTTGGCGACCCCTGATGAATTGAGGGAAAAGCCAAAGGAAAGTCAATGAATGAATGAATAAATAAACAAGCAAATGCCAATTAAACTAAGACTTTCATGTGAGTCAAGCATACTAAAAGTATATTTTCATTCAAGGTCTGAAAGTACTGTATATTTGATTATTGACTTTTTTTTTTTTTTTTGTTAAAATAGAAGTACACTAGTAGGGCAGTTATGGAGAGGCTATCAGTCCTGTCTCCAGTGCTGTTTCTTCTAGCACGTGAACAGATTTGTCTTTTGTCACGTCACAGTAAAGGTTTTTTGTCCTGGCTGTTTTAATGTGAGAGGAGTGTTTGAGGAAACGTGTCCTCCGCCCTCTTGGTTTAAGCGAGCATGACCAGCAGTTGTTAGGCTAAACAGCTGTCTTTTGTGCTTGTCAGAGAGTGCATGTGTTTAAACACGTCCAGCTCAGTCTACAGTCAGTGGCAGACATTTGAATGTGTATAAACATGCTCTTTGTTTAACACACACTGGAGATTATGTGTGCATTTGTGGTAACTGAACGGTTAGAGATTGGTTGCATTCTTGCAGTTTGCATTTTACAATGGCAAAATTATAGACCATCATAATGAAAATATTAGTCCGGAAATTAGTTACTAAATATTTGTAAAACATTGGTGGTGGCATTAGAAAAATATTTTAACTATGTTTTATTATGAAGTGATGATATTTATTTTTTCAAAGCATAACATTTAGTTTGATACACATTTTGCAAGCACATATGCACCAGGATTCCCAAATCAAACTATTTTATTTATTTTTAATTTTATTTATTTATTTTAAAAACTTTTTATGTATTGAGAGTATTTGTGAAGCATTCAACATACCAGTACTGTGGAAAATTATCAAAAAAAAATATTGATTTGTGCCACTACTAGGGACATATTTGGCCACATAATAATAATAATAATAATAATAATAATAATAATAATAATAATAAAAATAATAATAATACACATTAACAAAAAAGGGATTTTTAAACAGTATACAGGTTCAAAATAGCTATGCATTTCAAATACATTTTTAATATTAAATAATAGTATAAATGACAATTAAATCATTCAAGAGCGCCATCTAGAGTTAAAAAAACAGAACTATACAATGATCAGCTGATGCACAGTCATGTGACCAAATACGGAAATAACCATGCAGTGGTTTTCTACAATGGCAGCATGACTTTATTATATTGCAGACATTCATTCCACCAAACTGGTGAATCTATTTATTTATGAGTTTAATGATGTGTTAAGTCAGATATGGTGCTGTGTTTCTTAATCCACACGGTGTGCCCGGTGAGCGCGCTGTCCGCTGGCGAGAGTCGGATTCTGTACTCGCGGCTGTTCGGAGCAGAGAGCGGAGATGATCGGGACTTCACACCAGAGCAAAAGAGACTGATGCAGAAGGAAAAACTGCAGGTGGTCGCGAGGTGAGCTCATTAAACGATTTTTAGGTTTTCCAGAACTACAACAATGCCCGCTGGATAGGTAACGATACAATGTATAAAAATATATTAACAAAAGTCAGAGTTTCCTCACAAATTTAGAGGTCAATGACTACCGTTTTCCTTATATCGTACAGAAAAAACAAAACATATGAAAGTTTGATGACACTTTAGATGAGTAAATTATGGCAGAATTTTCTTTTTCGGATGAACTTTCGCTTTCAAAGAAGATAACGGGTGCAACATTTCAAATGTGTGTTTTGAAACAGTGCGGTTTGCCAATTACTTACAAATTGATATAGTAACTTTTACAAATAAGCATGATTATTAAAAGACTGCATGTAACTCTGCAATCGTATGTTGACTTGACACAATTAAAATTTTATTTATATGTGCGTTAAACATCATACATTATTATTTTACAAAATATAAAAATAATACTAAAATTACTACATTCTAGTAAATAATGTTTATGAACCATACTATAGTAAAATACTTAAATTATTCTGTTGTGGTTATCCCTATTGAGGTAAAGTTGTTTGTATATTAGCACATTCATTCATTTTAATGGTCTCTATTTGAGCAATTTCATGCAAATGTCAACCATGTCCCCAAAATAGTAAAACCCTTTCTAAGTTTTTTTTTTTTTTTCTGTAGGCTTGTACTTTTTTTTAAAGTACTGTAAAAATACTCAAAATGTCTCAATGGCAATGGTCTTAAACAATTAAATGTAATTTACCAAAGTCACACAAGTGGCAATTTCACATCTGTCACATCCTTAACGGAGAGATGTCTCATCAACAACCAAGCTTTTCCCTCATAAATGCAAAAGTTTAAAATAAAATAAAATCTATCATGTTTGTTCTATAGTGAACCAACTCCTATCCTTTCGATTAGCATTCTTTCTTTTGGGTTGTGCAGTTTAATTTACATATTTTCTACAAAGTATGTTGTATACTGTAAACTCTGTGACTTTTTTTGGTCACACATGTTTATTTTAAAATTACAGATTGTTATTTTTTCTGATCTCAAAACTCTGGTTAGTTCTTTTGGAAAATATAAACAGATGTTTCAATATAATGTATACTTTCATTCATGCATTTTCTTTTCGGCTTAGTCCCTTTATTATTCTGGCGTTGCCACAGCGTAACAAACCCTTCCAGCCATATCACTGGGAAACATCCACACACACCCATTCACACACATACACTACGGACAATTTAACCTACTCAATTCACCTATACCACATGTTTTTGGAATTGTGGGGGAAACCGGAGCACCCGGAGGAAACCCAAGCAAACACAGGGAGAACATGCTAACTCCACACAGATACTCCAACTGACCCAGCCGAGGCTCGAACCAGTGATCTTCTTGCTGAGGCGAACTTGCTTTGGAAATATTGGCGTTGGACATATGAAATCCTTTTCACAATCTGGGGGGTCATGGTGGCTCAGTGGTTAGTCACCTCACAGCAAGAAGGTCACTGGTTCAAGTCAAGTCAAAGTCAAAGACATGTGCTATAGGTGAATAAACTAAATTGGCCATAGTGTATGGGTGTTTGCCAGTACTGCGTTGCAGCTGTAATGGCATCCGCTGTGTAAAACATATGCTGAATAATTTGGAGGTTCATTCCGCTGTGGTGACCCCTGATAAATAATGGAACTAAGCTGAAGGAAATTGAATGAATGAATAAATATTTACTATCGTCTCTTTAGAGACATGTTTTCATCATGACTCCAGTGGTACTCCAAGTTCTATTGCCTAGTTACTTTTTACACACCCAGTACTGAGCGTATACTTCATTACTCCTTTAAACTGGGGTGTATTTGTTTTTCTATGTATACCCATGGGGAGCAGTAATGAGGCCAGTCCCACTCTCTGTCTGCTCTTCTCTTCTCTCCCGCAGGCAGGTGAGAAGTGCGGTGTGTTTGAGCAGGGAGGCCTCAGGTCGTCTGTGTGTGGAGTCTGTTTTGGGTGAAGAGGCTGTAGCTCTGGGCGAAGCAGACAGCGGAGTGTTTTCCCTGGGAAGTGCAGAGTTGTTTCCAGATCGCAGTGCTGTCCTTTGGCTCGGGGTGCAGGCTTTGGCCTTCACGCTCATCTGCAGGCCACACGAAAACCTTCTGCTGGCTGAGGGAACGCTTCGCAACATCGCACGTCACTGTCTGGAGGAGCTGCGTCTGCTGGGACCCGGTGCTGAGGTCAGACTTTCATTGGACTAATGAGTGTTTTATTAGAGGAGCTGTTATTGTTTATGCTTGGAATTTTTGGATTTAAATCCCTACACTGTAAAGGTAGGTGCAGAGAATAGCGATGTGTGTATAGACTATTCTGTCCCAAAATGCGATGATAATCCTACATAACGGTAATAGTTTGATTGAGATGTTTACATGTCTGTACTGCAAATCAGCATACTCCACATGTCTTAATGGACCCTTCGCTAAGTTCCACCCTCCTTAGTTACTGTTGCTACGTCTGTCAAGCTTTCGTGCCTGGCACGGCTTTTTCAATGCGTGTGCGCCGATGTCAGACATTGCCAGGGATATAATGTAATTTCTGTCGAACAGGTGAGATATCCGAGAAAGCCAGACAAAAAAGAACAACAGTGTGCATTACAGGGGTATATTCACAACATAATAGGCAACCGATTAGAGAATAGTTTAATCAAAATTGAAGCTAGCTTAGCCTAGCCACCTTATACGCTAACCATTCAACAGCTTAGCTCATGCTCAGCAGGAGAGGTGACATTTAAAAATAATCTAATATTAACAAATGAAACCATGATTTCTCTATTTTTAGTCAAAAGGCCTGTTAGATTAATTGTTGTGCAATGAAATATAGCGTTACTAACTGACGAGGAAACACGCATGACCTAGCTTTTACATAGTTCATTCATAGAAAGTTCATAGAATAGAAAATTCATAGAAAACTGGATTTGTGCTGAATATTAGCATCATTGACCTATCATTGACCCATAACAATGTACAGTAAGTTACCTTTTACTGTCAGTGTGTTTATGTACTCTTTATAAATGACTGAAAAACAGCTGCCGGTAAAGGATATTAATTGCAAGTTTGTGATCATATCTCGGTTTTGTTCAGTTGATTTGTAATTTCAAATATTCGTAGCTTGAAATAGATGGACATATGAAGTTTAGTAAAGTTAGCAACAGATTTGCAGATTCGTATTTTCCGGATCAATAACTCATGTCATTATGACCTTTTTTCGCTATTAGTATGACTAAGTTATTAACGTTATGGCGAAGGCTTAAACAGAGCATATATTGAGCGAAAAAAAGGAATAAGACAGCTGTGAAACATAACCAGCTTTGTGTTTTTGTAGGAAACACAGTTTAGATCTGTTTAGGGTAAGGTGTGTGAGTTATTGCTGTCGGTCTATCACTGAATGTGCTAGGAATATCTAAACAAAACCAACTTAGCTCCACTCCTTTAGCGCCCCTCCGACAGCTTGATCCATGCTGGCATTTCTCCTCTTGGGTTTTAGGTTTTGAAAAGGGAAAATATTCCACCATCCCGTTCAAAATTTAAGGATACTGGGTATCTGGGTATATTTGCACAATCCATATGCACTCGCTCGAAAGCTTGACAGAGCCCCTGCGCATAGCTACAGTTGCTAAGCCAAGATTGGTGGGTGATGGTTTTTAGGTGTGGCTTAGCGAAGGGTCAATTTCATTGCTTTTTAGTAAGATTATGACTTTAGTCGGATAAAGGTCATCAAAAATGGCAGTTTACATGGTAGACTCTTAGTCAGAGTATTGTCTTAATCGTATTAAAATCAGAGTATTGGTGTCCATGTAAACATACTCAAAGTTTGTCTTCGATTTCAGGATAATTCATTTAATTTTCAGGCAATAATTAAAATGTCCTAGATTTCTTGCATAGCTTGTAGGGGAACTGTGGGTCTGTGTAGTAAACATTGCTCTATCTAGAAGCAGGTGCTGGAGATTTAATACTGATTACATAACCATTTTTATGGCCTGTTTTGACCTGGTCACTTTAAAGTTTTTCTCTAATCGGATATTTGTCTGATTTTCAAAAAAAAAAAAAATCGTTTAAATGGAAATTTGGCCAATGACTATGTCTCTGCTAAACAGTTATAAATTTGTCTTATTTTCAAATCCTGCACTATATTAAAAATTAACTAGGTGATGTTGACAAGCATCAGATACAATGGATTTCATTTCATCATTATTATTTTTTTTTCAGAAATGAATAAGAAAGGTATATGTCCTCACCATTCTAATTCATGTTTACAAGTACATTAGACAGGCGATTACTATCATTATAGGCTAAATGAAACATCTATTTTTGTTGTACAGATACAAAACTATAAAGTATTTACATTTATTTGAGTGTAAACTACTCTCCCAATACGAAAACTTTATTTCTTTTGTAAAAAAAAATAGAAAAAAAGCTATATTTTTAGAGGTGCTTCAGTCAAAAATAGAATGAAATAAAAAAAGGAAAAAGAAAGAAATAAGCAAAACTGTTATGTGTGGCATTGCCATTAAATTCTAATAGCTGTTATATCTGACTATGTAGTATAGCCCAGGGGTTCCCCAGCCACCTAAGGAATAATGCCAGCAACTCAAAATAAAATAATACTAATAGTTAAAAAAAAAAAAGATTTATGGAAATCACCAAGTGAACCTCCCCATCATTGTCGTGCCACTTCCACTTTGCCTCTTACATTTATTTTTTTTATATTTTGGGAGGAGTTAACATTGCACATGTTTTAAAAAAAAAAACAAATTTTTCTAGACCTGCTCTTAGTTTCATCTTGAATGTGTCCCAGACCACCTCATGAGATTGGATTTATGTAAGCCTAAAAGGATTCTTTGACAAATATTTTGTTTGGAACAGTCTCATTTGTTAATTATCATTTTGTGTTAAATCTAAAAGCTGTTATAAAATTATTTAGTGTCGCATGTAGTCAATTTTATATATATATTTTTTTATTAAGTACTCCGCATAAATGAGTGCACTCAATTAATTTTTTTTAACCTATTTTCCAGTGAATATAGGCAATATATGTTGGTGCATTTGAACAAAACAGATTTATTAAACAGATTAAAATTTTTTAGTCATCAAAATATTTATTAGATAGAAAGATAACACTATTAAATTCAAGCAAAAATAATGCAATGAATAAATAAATGAATTACAAACTACAAAATTTCAACAACATTTTTATATTTTTAGTTTTTCTAGTTTTTTTTTTTTTTTGCTATGTTTAAAATTTAAAAAGATTTTCCCCTAACATATACATTTGGGCTACTAATCTTTGGACTGTTATTGCAAATTATTTTGTTAGATTATCTTCAGATTTGCCTTCAGTACTGACTAATCTAATGTATATGCACAAATATAATATTGAAAAGCATCCTATGGAAAATATATTCTGATGACATTATTATTATTTTCCAAACTTTTCAAATTCCCCCCAAAAAAATAAAAAAAAATGTGTGAGTGACTGTAGAATGAACACACCCGCAATGTTTGCTGTTTTCATTGCATCGTGTAGATTCCTTCATCCTAGAGAAATTACTTTTATTGTTGCTACAGCAGAGCTGAACTCCTGTTGAACCCCCACAGTCTCATAAAGCAGTCTGATTCGAACCTTTCTCATGTCAGCTGCTGGCCCAGTTTCTTTTTACACCAATGCAATCTATTGCCCACAACTCAAATAATAAGGATATGCATCTCAATCTGTATGAGATACATGTTAGACTGCTGATTACATTGCGATCAATACATACGCAGAAAAAGCAATCTGCCGGGCTCTGGGTTGTTTTTTTATTGCAGATATTTACTTCAGAATGATATTCCAGTTACTGTATGGCTATTCGGGTAGCGATAGTGAACAAGGACACGCATTCGAAGAAAATAGGCATTTTGCCAAGCTATTGATTATTTGACACAAACCTTTTCTCTCTAGCTGACTTAGCTGTTATTTTCAGGTGCTGCTGAAAAGTGATCGAGTGGACGCATTGTTGCACAGACTCCTTCCTCACGGCCAGCTCCTCTTCCTCAACCATCGTTTTGCCTTCAACCTGGAAAAAGAAATATCGGGCTACGTGAGCAAATGAAAGACTGTGTGCATTGGTAGAATCACACTAGAGAGCCATTTGGAGTGTAATTTATGAATCCATGATGGGAAGATTTGGAAGAAAGTGTAGTAAACAATGTAAGCCCTCAAAGTCATTAGGAAGGTTGAAGATTGCACCTATAAACTGTAACAGGAACTGGATTTCTCCTTTGAGGTAACCTGAAGGCACATGCTCTAAAGCGTTAATTGCAGGTTCACAGTAGATTAGTAGATTATATGGGGGGAAAGAGTGAACCTTTTTACAAAAAAAAATAAAATTAATATATATATATATATATATATATATATATATATATATATATATATATATATATATATATATATATATATATATTAGTATATCCTGTGAGAGTTTTTTTTAAGTATCTACCTAAGAAAAGTGAAGCACATTGGATTTCTTAGCCAGAATGACTTTGGAGTTTCTGATTAAGTGGGAATAAATGGTCATTTGATAACATTGTTCGTGAGTTTTTCTTGTTAATTAAAGTCTGAATTTTTTTATCCCGAGTGTCTGAATGAGTCAATGTAATAGCAGTTTGTCATATATACAGCTATCCTCTAGAGGGCAGTGTTGCATTTTGTTATATTTTGCTTTAAGTCAAGTGCTTGGCAATTTGAATAATCCTCTAACACTTTCATCTAAAATAATTCAATAGTTCACAGCAGCGCCTCTGGCAACAGATCTGAGATATCTGATTGACAAGGCTGTATGACGCCTTTAAATCTAGGCCAATTTCAATCCAGTTTAGCATCCAATTTGCCTGTTTTAATAATAGCAAGTTACCTCTGTCGCCGTGCAGTGATTGGAATGAAGGGAGGGTGAGTGTGTCCACTTGTAGTAAGTGTGAGACCACTCATAACTCACAAGTGCTGTCGATGTTCAATATGTTGACTTGTGAGAGAGAGGTTTTTCTGGTTTCTTGTGTCATCTGTCTTGGTATTCCTGTCACATCCAGCAGGACAAGAGCCTGTAAACGCTGAGTACTCTACTGCTGTGAAGTGTGGTTCAGGTATTCACACTGAAAGCACATTTATTATAACGTGGCATCACAGCGCCATTTGTGTTTGTATGCAGTTCTGTTAAAAGATGAATTATGTAGTTTTGGTGCCATTAGTGTCAGCTAACGGAAAGGCAAAAATAAACTATTTTCAAACAACCTTCGCAAACGCCTCTTAAACTCAACATGTGTTTTCTTAAGATTAATATTTTCTTTAGTGAAAATTTCAGTATTTTATACAACGGACTTAACAGGAAAGCTTAGCTTCTAGTTTAGCTTACTGGTCTAGAAAAAAGTTTGCATGTTCAGCGACTCGGTTGAACCCAAACTGTCCATCAAGTTTTTTAGGTGTTTGGTGTTTATGTTGTCTTTTTAAGTAATTTAGATTATGTTTTGCCTCATGTCCTATTCCTAGAGTCCCAGAACTCCCCGCATTAAGGCACAAGATTTGTATGGCTTGATTTGTTGCTATTTTCAGCTTTATTTCAATTTATACATGACATTTTGCATTGTATGATGGTATTATTATCAGCAGTATTATTTATTATATGCATATTTGTATTTGTTTTAATAACAACAAGTTTAGATTTTCCACCTGTTTGGTTTCGGAGATGTACGCATCACCATATAAGAATGACATGAAAGTAAAGAGTAAAAGTAAAGTCAAGAGAAAGAGGCTAAATGGAGGAGGCTCATTCTTAATCATTGCGCTGCAGATGATCTGTAGATGATCTGCAGATGATCTGTTTTTACTGTTTTCCTTTTAGTGAAGCGTTCAGTTTTTTCGCTTACAAAGTCTGCAAATGCAAATGTGCCATGGCGTGATGCAACTGACTCTTAAAGGGAATGAGAGATGAGACTCTGATTGGTTTAATTCATGTTATGCTCAAAACACACCCATAACTCATTAAGAGAATAAGCACAACCCTGTTAGACCATGTGCCAGATCACAAACCGTATTTTTCCGTCTTTAAAATAGAAAAAGTGGATTCGGACAGGCCCTTAATGCTTTTGCGCCATGCGTTGTATGCTAATATCGTTAAAATAGAGCCTTATAACCATGCATTCACCCGGGGCTTCAGCATCAACGCTTAATTGAGGGTATGTCTGAAGTTGGGGTTGACGCAATCGTCATGGCAGCATCAGCCAATGAAATTAGTCTGCAATTGGCTACTGTCTGAGCTGAGGCATTTGCACAAAGTGATCTGAATAGCCGCTTTTCCACTATTGCTCCTAAAGCGAGCGAGCCAGGGCGAGCCAAGGCTAGTCGCGTTTCCACTGTCACTTCCGGGGCCTAATCGGGCCAATTCGGGGCTTTCTTGGGGCCAGCGGCCGGCCTTTTTCGGCCCGCCGAATACCTTGGGCCAAAGAGGGCCAACTGGGGCTTTGGGGCGGAGTGAGAGGCGGAGTGCGGACACAGTTTTCCGATCGCACACGAGTACATGCGCCAAACAAATAAATAAATAAATAAGGGAAAGAAAACATCTAGCCTTATAGGCTGGGGCTTTTGCGTATGATCGCTCTTATGTTTTCCTTTTAAATGTAAGGCTGTTGCGTAAAATAATAAAGTTTAATTTATAGCCTAAGTGACTTCTTTGCTGCATCCTCCTTGATGTTTCAATAATGCATAATAATCTTTACACCAAATTAAACACAGCAGACAGTAAAGGTTTTCAAGAGTTTTTGTCAAGTTTAAAATGTGTTTGTGCGTATTTAGATGCCTGTATGTGTGTGAGACCGAGGAAAAGAGCACTCCCTTCACAGCTCTGTTGATGCTGCGCGGCTTCTTTCCTTTGTTATTTATTTTGGAGATAATACACAATATGAATGCAACAGAAAGACATGAAACTTTACAAATTTCATGTCCACTTTCGTAAGCTCAAAACAATAGTGTCATATCCTTATAAAATAGCCTAAGCTATATTGAAATAATTTAAATAATTACAAATATTGGATATAATAAAATCGCATTAAATAAATAAACCAATATAAAACTAAGAAAAGCTAAACCAATTTAGGTATATACAATACATATATCAAACCATTTTAAAGCTATATTAAACTTTAATTTTACAGAGACCTATCTGAAAAAAATTTTTTTTAGATATTTTCTAAAAACAATAAACACAGAAGAAGGTTTGAAATATTATTTATTAAGTATTTGGATACGATGATATTAATCAAATCATGCAAACAGAGCATTTTTGGGTGAGTAAAAACAGAAACTGGACCTTTTTTTCAAGCTGTTTTTTTTCTTTAATATATGAAGAGCTTTATTAGTGGATGGCTGCTGAGCGCAACGAAACATAGACTATATTTTATTACTTGCTCTTATGTGCTGAAATACTTAACACTTTCCTTAAATATCCTTAAATAAAGGGGAATCACCTATTAAAGTGTCATAGCCTATAGGGAAAAATTTATGTTTAAGGTTTTTCCGGAGCATTTGGGCTAAATGTTTGACGGCGTCTATCTAAACGAGGATGTTATCAAATACATTTTTTTTTCTTTTAATTTTTCTGTCTTTATTAACAGAGAATGTCTGTGGTTTTATATTATGGATTGGTGCGCTGACTGTGCTGGGTCCCTCCGTTAGTGTCACTCGATTTCGATGCCAACAGTCGGTCGGTGAGTAATTGAATATGATGAATGAGAACACAGGCCTGTACGTATAGACATATAATGTAATGCTGGTGGTTTTGTTGACGAATTTTGTTGTGGTTTGCTGAAGTGGGCGGGTTGTGTGACGTTTTGACTCAGGGGACGTTCTGGGGCGGGGTTTGCGTGACGCGATGTGTGCTGCTAGCCCGACAGGGGAAACGCGACATGATTTCAGCCTCACTGCTCAACCTACTGGGCGATTGGCCCGGCCCAATTAAAGCCCTGGCTAGCACTGGCCCGACAGTGGAAATGCGGCTAATGGCTATAAGTTGGTGCTTAAAAGGGTAAGAATTTTCCAACTTCTACATCGAGCAACACATGTCATCAAATTATTAATACTCAAAACTGACAAATTTGTTTTGGTTATAAAGTATTGTTACAATGAATGACATTTCAGTAGGATTTTGTAAATCATTTCTTAGGAAAAAAAAATGCTCATTCGATTGCTCAAAAAATTCAAGATGTGTTACACTTGCATGGTTTTGTCACTTGAAAACCATTTTTCATCTGTGACCCATTTACACATCTGAAAGCTGGCATCTTAAAATGTGACTTTTAATTATTTACTGAAATGTAAGAGAGTTATATGTGACCGTATAGACCTTATAGGACATTATTATTAAAATGTATTTGTCAAATTAAATAAAATAAATAAAGGTTTGGGTTGGATTTTATTGGTCTGTTTGTTTAGGACAAAAGTGTGTTGTGGATGTTGTATGATTTGCTTGCAACCTTCAGTGAAACATGCTGGAGACTTTGTCCTGGTTTGTCCTGTATTTGTTTCTGCCAGTGTTGTTGACTGCAGTCTAAATTTATGAAATCGTGAAAAACATTTTTCAGAAAATGCTGAAAATTAAAGTTTGATCTATCATTGTATTGGTTTTATAAAGCAACTTCTTTGTAATGGTATAGTTTTATATGCCAAATAAACTGCTAATGCAGTGAAATCATATTTAGAGAAAAAAAAAGCTGATGAAACACTGACCTGAATAATTAAGAGGCAGTATGGAACACCAGAACAGAGAAGAAGATAGCCGTTTTGAAATAAGCTTGATATTATTTCACAGAAAACGTCAGGACAGTCTCTCTAAAACAGTTCAAGCTGTGCTCAGTGCAACTTTTACTTGTAAATATTTTCTAAAAATTATTCTCCCTCTTTCTTGCCCTCTCTGTCTTTTTTACATTTGCATTGTGTACATATTTCTTGAATTCTTATGAAAATGTTGTATGCATATGTATGTGTGTGTACAGTATATACCCTCATTGATGCTTCAGAAGGAAACACGAGGCATTAAGACCCAGGGCGTGTATGAATAAGCTCTTAATGTCTTGTGTTTGCTTGTTGAGCATCAATGAGGATTTTAAACCTTTTTATCTGTTGTTTTTGACTCCCTCAATCATCCTTAGCATGAAATGCTGGATCTCACAATCACACAAGTCACAGCTGGAAATGGTTTAAATTTACAGAAGATGCTGAAACCTAAAGAATCTGCAGGACATAGAGGATTTTTCTGAAGAACAGCAGCAGTTTAACTTTAACTTAACCAAGGGTATGTAAACTTGCAGGGGGTTGTTTATTGTTGTTTCATTTAA